GGACGTGTGCGAGTTAGGCTAAGTTGCGTTCTAAATGAGGGAAATTCTAAGTTGAGCCGATAATGTAGTGATGTGTCGATACGTGTTGATCAATGGCTAAATGTGTGCAGTGCAAAAAATCCCAAAAAATCTCCCATTTGGTTTAGCATCAACTTAGCCTAACTCGCACACGACCTTAGTTAGTGAAGTAAAAAAAATAGAAAACAAAAACTAATTAAGGACGTGTGCGAGTTAGGCTAAGTTGATGCTAAACCAAATGGGAGATTTTTTGGGATTATTTGTACTGCACACATTTTGCCATTTATCAACACGTATCGACACATCAATACATTATCGACACAACTTAGAATTTCCCTCATTTAGAACGCAACTTAGCCTAACTCGCACACGACCTAAGTATCAATATCTCAGGACTATTTTTGATATACTGTATACGTGCCGGTATGTTGTAATTTGTTTTCAGTGGTGGTTTTGTTTATATTGTAGTATTTATAATAAAAAATATATTAAATATTTTCTCAATGTTGGATTGTAGATAATTAATACAATCTAATTATTTTAGTAACTTTCATGTTAAATAATAAAAAAAATTATAACGAAGTGTTGCGTGTGATGTGTTTTGTTTGTTGATTAACCCTGAACGTATAATCATAATTCTACTAACGTTAAGAATAATCATACGTAAAAATGACGTGCAATTTTCAGAGTTTATATTTTGCCGTTATATTAATTTAGGGCGTGTGCGAGTTAGGCTAAATTGATGCTAAACCAAATGGGACATTTTTTGGGATTTTTTGCACTGCACACATTTAGCCATTTATCAACATGTATCGACACATCACTACATTATCGGCACAACTTAGAATTTCCCTCATTTAGAACGCAACTTAGCCTAACTCGCACACGACCTTAAATGTTTGCAAGTTTTTACAAGTTTTTTAAAGAAGTATTTATTTATTCAAATTAAAACAAAACAGTAATACTTTCAAACACATTTTTTTAAATAAACATAATAAATATAATATGCCAATGATTTTCACTTAAAAAGGAATTGCATTTTTCAACATTATGTATTAAGAGTAAATTTTCAATATTTCTTTATATTTTTTTTTTATTTTTACTTAGAATAAATCAAAAAATAATAATAGAAACAAAAAAGTTAATGAAATTTATACAGTGGTTCACAGCTTATTTGATGCAAGCAAAAATTTTTTGAAAAATGTTGTTTATTTCAAAATATTTTGTAAAATTAAAAAAACAAAGTATGCAGAGTTATTGTTTATAGTGTGTTTATTCATTTTAAGAAAAAAAAAATCCAAAAATCTTCTTCCATTCCTTAGTAATGCATCAAAAACCAAAACCAAATGAAAAATTCATGTCACAGCTTAAATGATGCAACATCAAAAAAACTAATATTTTTACAAACTTCCGGACTAATTCTAAGTACTTAGTACTTTGTTGGATATCCCTTATTAGTAATAACAGCATGAAGCCTTTTTGGCATGGAATCAATCAGTTTTTTGGTATAATCTGGACTAATTTTACTCCACTCTTGCTGTAAAGCGTTTCTTAAGTCAAATTTGTTGCGGATGTCATGTTTTCTGATATTTGTCTTCAAAACGGACCACAAATTTTCAATAACGTTCAAGTCTGGTGATTGTGCAGGAGTTTGGACAATGTGTGGACATTGCCATATCAACCACGTTTGTACTAATGCTGACTTGTGCTTAGGGTCGATTTCTTGGTAAAAGCGAAAATATCTGCAATCTGCAATTTCGTTGCACTTTGAATCAAATTTTCTTGAAGAAGCTTTAAGTAAATATTTTTATTCATAGATTCTTCGATGAAGACCAAATTTCCTACTCCATTTGATGACATACATACCCAAACCATAACATTACCACCTCCGTGTTTTACGATAGCACGTACATTTTGTGGTTTGAGCTCAGAATTGACTCCACGCCATACATAAGATCTTCCATCTGATCCAAATAAGTTTATTTTGACTTCGTCTGCAAAAAGTACATTTCGCCAAAATGCTGGACTCTTATTTAAATGCTCTCGTGCAAACTGCAACCTTTTAATTCTATTTTTTGCACTTACGAAAGGTTTCTTTACAGCTATTCTTCCATTGAAATTTGCTTCTCTCAATATTCTGCGGAAGGTTTCAGGATGACAAACTTTTCCAAAATCTATTTTGGCCATGTTTGTCAACTTTGGAGCGCTAATTGTTGGATTTTTTCGAATTTGGTTTACCAAATACCTCGATTCTTTTTCTGTAAAAATTTTATTGGGAGCCTTTCGTCTCTTATTTTCTATGCGATTTTCATGTACGAAGCGTTCAATTATGTGTTGAACTGTTGAAGAGCTTATATTTACCATTTCACCAATTTTTGCTGGGGAATTCCCTTTTTAAAGTACTCCAACACTAAATCACGCTTTTCAATTGATGTGCGCCGTCCCATGGTTAACAAAATGCACTCACTTTAATTTTTATAATATTTTCGCTCAAAAACTAGATTACAAATGATCGCAGAATAAAAATATTTTAATTTCTGTGTAATTTGGCGACAAAAACAACGGTATTCTTAACTGCATCATTTAAGCTGTGACATGAATTTTTCATTTGGTTTTGGTTTTTGATGCATTACTAAGGAATGGAAGAAGATTTTTGGATTTTTTTTTTCTTAAAATGAATAAACACACTATAAACAATAACTCTGCATACTTTGTTTTTTTAATTTTGCAAAATATTTTGAAATAAACATTTTTCAAAAAATTTTTGCTTGCATCAAATAAGCTGTGAGCCACTGTATATACTTATAAAATAAACAAATTAAAGTTATACAAATAGCAAGACATATTGAGATCGTCATAAATGTTACGAAAATAATTAAAATTATTAGGAACTTTGGTTCAAATCAGCTAATTTTAGTTACATATATAATAATAATTAATCCTATGCAGAAATACACTTAAAGCATGTATCACGATTGTGCTCTCTACAAATCGGCTTTTTACAAGAACTACATCTAATGTTTGTCATTCTTTTTTTCTTATATGAACAGAATGCACAATATGTTCGACTAGAACTAGATTTTCCACCTTTCTGATCATTTTCTTCATCTTTTTGTAATATCAACAATATTAAATCTCTTTGATTTCATTTCTATTAAAACTTTACTGAAATTTGAAAGAAATAAAAGTTTTTCAAAATACTTTATTAGCCATAAAAATTACACAAAGTATAATCATACGTAAAAATGACGTACAACGACTCAATATCTAACTTATGTCATGACTTACCGACACTTATCATATACCTTACGCAAGAGTTAGATCCCGACTGAACATATCAAGAGCGCGAGACCAATATATGAACACAAAAATGAAATAACTGTAAAAAACGAAAACGTGTACGTCAAATTTACGTACATTATGCGTCCAGGGTTAAAAAAAATGTAAACAGTGAGCATTTAAGTCGTTGAATGATTATTTATTAAATCTATTTTTGTACGCTAAATGTTTTATTTATTGTGTTGAATTTTGTACTCTAATTCAAATTCATAATAATAAAATAAAAATTAATTTTTTTATAATTCAATTCGTGTTTTGTTTTTACTTCAGACTTCTTTGCAAGCCTGCGGCACGCCAGACCAGAAGATCGCATATAATGTCAATAAAATTTGTGTTTAACATACTTCCATATATTCCATACATTGGTGCTATTTGATTCTGGTGAGTGATTACCTGTGCCGTCTATATGTGTGATGGTGTGGGGTGCTGTGCTGACAGTGGGGCACTGCTTTTATTAATATTATGTATGATAAAATTTGAATGTAAAAAATTCTATCTTTACAAAGAGATAGCTAACACCTGTACGAGAGTGTTTTTGGTCATCCGCTTCTAGGCATATTTTCCACTGAATCATTTTGTTTGTATTTGTTAACATTTTGGACACTTAAAAATTTAACATTTGATCATTTTTCTATTCCTCGATAGGATTTGCCTCCTTTGAAGTGCTTAATTACCAAAATTTTAACGCTTAACTCTATTTCTTTTCCTTTGCCTGTAATGACTCAACTTGCACTGAAAGTAATAAAGCAATAATTTAGACTTCTAATCACCAAATTTGAACAAAACAAGAAATATAACAGTACTTTTTCTGATAAAGTAGTCGAAATATTTGCGTGTATATTTAACCTTTTAAATCCGGATACCAGATTTAATTCGCGCGAATCTACTTAAGCAATCAGTGGCCATAAGTCTATTGGTACTAAGTCCTGTTTGTTGAATAGAAAGTAGTAGCTCACCTAACTTTTCACTAGCAACGGTACTTGGACGAAGGCAACATTCACGTAACAATCCGCGATATGTTTCTGAAGTCCATCATTTTTGCATTGCAAAGAGCTACGATTAATCAATTTGGCACGTTGAGATCTAAGCCTGGAATTTGCAGTGCAACAGTTACTTACGGACTTATGAAACCAACGAATATGTCCAAATATCACTGATGATAAGTTTAAGCAATACTCCAAACAAAATAAAATTTTGTAATTCATTATTGTTTCAAAAATTCTTCTAATTATAAAATTGTCTTTCACTTAAAAAGTAAAATTTAAATTAATTGTTTATTTTCATTATTGTTTGTTTTTAGCGTAAATGACTATTTGCATATAAATTAGAAACGCTAAAGAATAAAATCCAAATAACCTCAGATTAGGCAATCAAACGTAATCAATGGCACTTCGTTCAGATGGCACAACTTGAATTATCCACTAAAATGATACATAATTGTATTAAATTTAATAACAATATTAATTTTAACTTTGTTCAAATCACATTTTCAAAATAATGTTGATTGTTGGTTATTTGTGTGGTATTGCACTGAAATATTATATTAATTTTCTGACTAAATAAGTCGAACAAGTAAAATACTATAAAACCTACGAATACTTATGACCTGCGAATGGTGTGTAATGAGTGTTGGTTAAAAAAAATTATGTAAAAAAGGTATTTTACCGTTTTATTTTATCCAATTAAAATTGCTTAATTAAACTTACATATTACAAGTATTACATATCAATGAAATTTGTTGAATTCAGTTTTGCACAGAAATTTCATTAAACGCTTTTCGTTTCGCGTGGAATTCTATTGGTCAAGTATTTAGGAGGCATAAATCCTGTATCTCCTAAGTACCTAATAGATACATTTCCTGAAGGATTAATGGTTAACCATGTAATAGAACCGTGATTTATGTTCATACGAAGCCATGCCTCTGCTGGGAATTGAAGTGCGCGGCATACGAAATATCTAATAACGTTTCCATGGCCCACAATTAACGTATAAGTTTCGCCCTTTTCACTGGGATAAGCTCGATGAAAATACTTTCGGAAACCTGCTTCAATTCTTGCTCCGTCACGGTAAAACTGCTATTATGTTGCAATTAAAATACTATTTAAATCCAATTTATTAAATTAGAAGCAAAAACTCACTGATTTTTCTGGTCGCCAATGGCCAACAGGTGGTTGGGGTGGTATTGGCGCACCCTCTCTTATAAAACTGCAGTGTTTTATAACTTTTGGATTATAGTCAATTTCTTTAAGTAGAACATCAGCAGTTTCTTGTGCTCGTGTCATTGTAGAAACAACTATCTTCTCCCATTTAATATCCAATTCCTTTAAGCGTTTTCCAGTGTACTTAGATTGCTTTTTACCGCGATCTGTAAGATGGTGTGTAACATCTTTTTCACCAGTGTCTAGATACTCTCCATGTCGAACAAGGATAATATGGCGAGTAGCAGTTGTTCTCATGCTTTCCAAATCTATGTTATATCTATTTTGTTCTTGTGGTGTTTCATTTTTTAACGGGCGTACGAGACTGTGTGGTTCTCTGCAATCCCAATCAACGTTCCATAACGCAGTTTCACTCAATTGTACATTCGAATTTGTCCACGAATTGTTGACTACACTTTGTTTCTTTTGAAAATGTTGATAATAATAAGCGAACAATCCAGCGGCGGTCCCAACAGCTAGAGTTGTAATATTACGCATACGTATCCACACAACCATTTTTATAGATATGATATAAACAAAATTTTCTAATAAAATTTAAACAACCCGTCTTCAGAAATGATTCTATTAAAGTAGCAACGTTCTTGTGCAGAACAGAGTTGATATTTATGATAAAATAAGTATATTAAAAATTATATAGCGTTTACATGCTAAAACCAAGTTAGCAACGTTGCTGGAAAACGCCGAGCTGTATTTTCAACAAATTTTTAAAAATTGATATTTTCGTTCATATAGGGAATTAAACTAAAACAAAAGGCATTATTCTTATAGAGTTTTGAAAGATCTTTCGATTGGCATTTACCAATTTGAGACACGATGCGTATTTTTCAAATTATAGAGAAAATAAAATTGACCAAAATCGACTTTTTTTGAAAAAATTTATTTTTAGAAAAATCTAGAACAGGTTCAAGTTGCACGGAAATACATCTAATAGAGAATTAATCAGGCTATCAATAGCAAAAAAAATCATAAAAATCGAGTAGACCAATTTTGAGAAATTCTATGTCAAAATCAAATTTCTAAACTCGTCAAATTTCAAGCTTTTTAAAAAATGTAAAACGCAAAAGTATGAAAAAAACTTTCACAAAACCGGATAAATAAGCACCATTTCAATATCTCAACTAAAACATCAAAATATTATTAAAATAAGTATAAATTTTGCACATGTTCCGATATAAGTGCATTTTATTTAAATTTCGAAGGAGGTACAACCTGCACGCTTAAAGTTCCTAAAACTAAATTGATCACTCTTTCAAACAAAACTAATTTCACAAAAATCGAGTAGAACGTTTTTTAATTATATATGTTTAAAAAAGTGGATTTTTTACGAAAAAAATGTATGTTAACTAACACCATTCTAATAACATATTAAGGTGAAAACCTGTACAAGGCTAAAAATTCACCACCATTGTAAAGTTTATTAAAGAACTCTGTTAAAAGTATCTATAGGCGGTTGTATTCTGTGGTAAGGGAATGATAATAAAATTTAATTTATATAATAATAATATTTTAAATTCAATATTTAAATTAAATTCAAAAATATATTGCATATAAATAAAAAAGAAAGATTTTCGTCTGTAAACTGCTAACATATACCGCCATATCGAACATTTTTCAATATATATTAAAAACAAAAATAAAAAGTAGTACAATGTTGCACGGTATTTTTTTAAATTGTTTATATTTTTCTAATATGAATTGATGTAAGAATTATCAAAATCGAGTAGCAAACAATAAAGATATTAACAAAAACAACTTTTGCAGCATATTCACAAATGCATTGAACTCTGTTACTATTAGAAATACAGAAAAACTTTGTATGAGTGAATTGTTTATTTTTAGTAGATCTATAACTTTTAGGAAGACAGTTTTTATGTAAAATTAAATATGTCGGAGATATAAGCAATCAAAGATGAATTTTATGGAAAATCGTTATTTTCCAATCTTTGAGGCTCTTGGGGCACCATTTCCACTTATCCAATTGAACTAAAATTTCACACAGATTATTTTTTTTAGTAAAATGAACCGATCTGGGGGGTGCCGCGGGCAATTTTCCGACTTTCAAAAATTAATGGCACCCTAATGTACATACATATTTGGTTATTACTATATTAGGAATATAATAATACCTGAATATTAATATCTTAAAATAATAAAATAACAAATTCCATAATTTAATTTTGTTCAAAATTATTTTATTATAATTTATATAAAGAAAAAAATATTATGATAATCAGACAAAAGATTGTAATAATAATTAAAAAAAAAGAAAAACATTATAAAAATAGAAGAAAAAACATTATAATAACTAGAAAACACATTATAATAATAATAAAAAGCATTATAAAAATAACAAAAAATAAAAATAAGAAAAAAATATTATGATAATAAGACAAAAGATTGTAATAATAATTAAAAAAAAAAGAAGAACATTAAAAAAATAGGTAAAGAACATTATAATAACTAGAAAACACATTATAATAATAATAAAAAGCATTATAAAAATAACAAAAACACATTATATAAATAAGAAAAAAACATAATAATTAGAAAAAAAAAACCATTATAATAAATAGAAAAAGAAATGCATTATTTAATTTTTTTTTTCAGTTCCCGATTTTCCTTCTCAAGTTCAATTAATCTGATTCGCATTTCATTTTCATTTATTTGGTTACTCTGAAAATATAAAAAAAAACTTTATTAATTTATTTAAAAATTTTAATAAATATGATTTAACTTACATTTCTATTATTTATTGCTGCAGCACCGTTTTCTACTGTCGGCGTCAGCACACTTCGGCTCTCCTCCTGCCGACGGAGGTTTTCCTCATGCCGACGGCGGTTCTCCTCCTGCCGTCGGAGGTTTTCATCATGCCGCCGGCGGTTTTCGTCTTGTCGACGGCGGTTTTCACATCGCAATCAGCTGTTTTCGTCATATTGCCGGTTGTTTCCTCCTTGCCATCGGCGTCCTTTACGCCAACTTCCTTGTTGGTAGTGTTGACGCTGCTGTTGCTGTTGACGCTGGTGTTGCCATTGACGCTGCGGTTGCTAAAGAGAGATACAAAAAAGTTCAATTTTATTATTACATTTAAAATAAATAATAATATAATATTATATATACATATGTTTTAAATTAAATTATTTATATTATTAAATTTACATACAGTCTCACCGCGTGCTAGCAATCCCACTAATACTGCCGTTAGAAGATCTTGGTTCTGAAATAAAAGCATTAAAAATTTAATATTTATATTTTAAATATTTATTCTTACTTTTTTAAATTTAATTTATAAATTTTTAAATATTTTTTATTGATTTATACTTACCATTATTAAGATTTATGCTTCCTGCGCACAACTTTACTGTACAAAAGATAAACGCAAACTATATCAATGTTCAAATTAGGCAAATGCGTTGTTTGTATTTAGTATACAGAAGAACATAAGATATGATATGGCGGTATATGTTATGTTAGCAGTTTACAGACGTAAATCTTTCTTTTTTATATGCAATATATTTTTGATAATTTTAGAAAATCTGTCTACTCATTTTTAAAGATTTATATACCAAAATATTCTAGAATATGTCTATTTTTTAAAAAAATACCGTGCAACAGTGTACCATTCCGTAAAATTTATAATTATTTCAATTTTCATAGTGTCCCCTAACACAGAATATAACCAACAACAAATGCCTGTAACAGAGTTTAATGCATTCGTGAATATGCTGCAAAAGTTGTTTTTGTTAATATCTTTATTGTTTGCTACTCGATTTTGATAATTCTTACATCAATTCATATTAGAAAAATATAAACAATTTAAAAAAATACCGTGCAACATTGTACTACTTTTTATTTTTGTTTCTAATATATATAGAAAAATGTTCGATATGGCGGTATATGTTAGCAGTTTACAGACGAAAATCTTTCTTTTTTATTTATATGCAATATATTTTTGAATTTAATTTAAATATTGAATTTAAAATATTATTATTATATAAATTAAATTTTATTATCATTCCCTTACCACAGAATACAACCGCCTATAGATACTTTTAACAGAGTTCTTTAATAAACTTTACAATGGTGGTGAATTTTTAGCCTTGTACAGGTTTTCACCTTAATATGTTATTAGAATGGTGTTAGTTAACATACATTTTTTTCGTAAAAAATCCACTTTTTTAAACATATATAATTAAAAAACGTTCTACTCGATTTTTGTGAAATTAGTTTTGTTTGAAAGAGTGATCAATTTAGTTTTAGGAACTTTAAGCGTGCAGGTTGTACCTCCTTCGAAATTTAAATAAAATGCACTTATATCGGAACATGTGCAAAATTTATACTTATTTTAATAATATTTTGATGTTTTAGTTGAGATATTGAAATGGTGCTTATTTATCCGGTTTTGTGAAAGTTTTTTTCATACTTTTGCGTTTTACATTTTTTAAAAAGCTTGAAATTTGACGAGTTTGAAAATTTGACTTTGACATCAAATTTCTCAAAATTGGTCTACTCGATTTTTATGATTTTTTTTGCTATTGATAGCCTGATTAATTCTCTATTAGATGTATTTCCGTGCAACTTGAACCTGTTCTAGATTTTTCTAAAAATAAATTTTTTCAAAAAAAGTCGATTTTGGTCAATTTTATTTTCTCTATAATTTGAAAAATACGCATCGTGTCTCAAATTGGTAAATGCCAATCGAAAGATCTTTCAAAACTCTATAAGAATAATGCCATTTGTTTTAGTTTAATTCCTTATGTTAAAGAAAATATCATTTTTAAAAATTTTTTGAAAATACAGCCCTGTGTTTTCCAGCAACGTTGCTAACTTGGCGCTGGTCGTTTACATAATTATTAAGGCTTACACCTTAGATTTACGCCTTGGATTTTTATGTTATCATTATTTAGTTAGGTTTGGTAGTTATATTTTTATTGGTATTTTTATTTTGCAGTTTTAACAGTTATTACTTGCACAATTCAAGTGCTACTTGTTTGTTTATAGGCCAACGCTTTGCAATGTTGCAATATCAGCTTATTTGTGGTTAATGAACTGACGAAAGTGTTTGGCCTTATTAAAGTGAAACAATCAATAAATATTTTATAAATTAATACAGTTTTGGTTAATATGTTAATTATGTAGTTTATTTGCTTTTTGTATACTGCAAATTAATGCATTTTTTTAATTTTCATGATTTATTAATATTGTGTATTGCAATTTTGTATATAAATTGAAACATTAATAATAAACGATCAGATTCAAATCAAAAATCTCACCTTTTATTATGACAACAGCTTAACTGCTAGTCTGCCAAATCAACATATTCAAAAAAGCTTAAACCTTCAAATATAAAACTACTAGTTTATGTGCTAGATAGTATAAACTTTTAAAGGATAGCCTTTAAGAGTTTTCAGTTATATTAACCAATTAAGTACCAGGTAATTTTAGACCTGAAATTTTAAGGTGAAATTTTCATAGTAAATAAAACAAGCCTAAATAAATGAAAAAGGTTTAATATATATATAAAAGATTACTCTTATTTTATCCTCACCTAAATTATATAAAATATTCGTTGAAAATTTTAAAATA